AATTAATGAAGAAGGCAAAGAGGAGCAAGTCATATCCTAGGTGGATGGCAGCAGGCAAAGAGAATAAGCTTGTGCAGGTAAACTCCTGTTTTTAAAGCCATCAGATCTCGTGAGACTAATTTACTGTCATGAGAACAGCGGGGGAAAAACCCACCCCTATAATTCAATCACCTCCCACTGGGTTCCTCCCATGACATGTGGGAGTTACAATTCAAGATGAGATTTCAGTGGGGACACAGCCAAACCATATCAGATCACTTCACTTAGAAATATGTATTTAAGGTTCTTCCACATCTTTTATTATTTATTTTAATGTGGATAAATATACCATTTTCTAGATGTACCACACTTATCTATTCACTTACTGAAGACATTTTGGTTGCTACCAAGTTTTGCCAATTATGAACAAAGGTGCTATAAATATTCATGTACAAGATTTTGTGTGGACATAAGTGTTTAACTCATTTGAGTAAAACCAAGAAGCACTATTACTGGATCTATGGTAATTGTTTTGGCATTGTTTCACATTTCAAATCAGTTGAGAAACTTTCTCAGATGTCTTAGAGGAAGCAAAAACAAAGTGCTTCTTCCTTTTTTCCTTTTTCAATAATCTCTAAGCCTCCAGATGTCTGTGAATGTCACCCGGTGAATAGACACACATATACACACAACACAGTCACACACTGCGTAAGTGTGTTACTATTGCACACCTATCTGCAGGACCAGAGTTCAATTACCCATTTCCTTAATATCTAGTGCACAGGAATATGGAGAAAGGGTCAGCATATTAAATGACATCAGAGAGACACAAAACAAAACAAAAACACACACCATTCCAGAATGTGGAAAATTCTGGACAAATGTCTCATCAACTTCAAGAATAACAATAAAAAGTGGTAGCTATATATTATTATAGACTCACCAGATGAAACTATTAATAGCCATATAGATTCGTTTTGGATCTGATTGCAATGAATTTGTCTTAAAAATCAATTTTGGAGACAATTCGAGGCAACTGAGCACTGATGATATATTTTATGATGCCTTAAATAATGATTGATAAAGTTATAGGAATTATGAAAGAGCTCTTATGCTTGGAAATGCATTCTGAAGAGATGCAGCATTGAATGACAAGATGTGGGAATTGTAAGTAAAATAATTATGTGTGAAAAGAGTTGAAACAAGAACAGCTACTAAATGATAAGTAATATGGACGATTTAGGAAGGTTTCATAGTGCTTCTGAACATAGTCTTTTCCATTTGTGTATATACTTGAAAATATCCATTAGAAGAGGAAAAATATGTTTTTGTACCCATTACTTGTTAAGAGGGATGGACTAAAAAGGGCAGGTGGAAACTTATAGTTTCAGGGGTTTAAGTATGTATTAACATAGGAATTGTGTACTTTAAGTATGCAGAATTTAAGACAACTAGATTTCACTTAAGCCACTTTTAAAAACACAAGTAATAAATATTCAAAAATTGTCACTTGCTAATCATTTTACTGTTTTACTCTTATATATACATTGTTCTATAGTGAGCAGGCCTATCCCAAAGGCCAACGAAGGTGAAAGGCCAAAGAAGGAGAAAGAGGCTAAGAAATTGTTTTCAGAAATATTTCATAGGGAATCATGAACAGAAGTGATGTCTTGTGCAGCTGTGAGACAATGGATCCCTGTATCCGCCCTCCAGAAAGCAGTATCCTTTATATCCTTTTTAGGACTCTTTTTATAGTGGTCAACAAGGCTGGAGGTTTTTTGTTTTGTTTTGTTTTTGGGACGGAGTCTCACCTCTGTTGTCTGTTGCCAGGCTGGAGTGCAATAGCACGATCTTGGCTCACGGCAACCTCCACCTCCTGGGTTCAAGTGATTCTCCTGACTCAGCCTCCCGAGTGGCTGGGATCACAGGCACCCGTGGGCCACCACAACTGGCTAATTTTTGTACTTTTAGTAGAGATGGGGTTTCACCATTTAGTAGAGATGGAGGCCAGGATGGTCTCCATCTCCTGATCTTGTGATCCACCCACTTTGGCCTCCCAAAGTGTTGGGATTACAGGCATGAGCCAACACGCCCGGCCTGGAGTTTTTAGGGCAAAACGTGAAGCTGCTGACATCTTCAGACTTTCTTGCCAAGACTCATGACCACTGGGGGAGAGAAGCATTTTGATGATACCTATGCTACTGCTTCAGAACATAGGTGACCATGACGTCTTCACTTCAAGATGGCATCAGTCTTGCCACACCACAGGCTGTATGTTCCTACATACATGTTCTTGAGGTTATCTGCAGCTACTGTATCAGCATGGTGAAAATAGAATACAATGATGTGACACTACCCACTTCTTCTCAATTCATATTCAATGACATTATTTTGACAACTTGTAATTGGCCATGGTGGGAGAATTTTACCAGGGAAATTGGCAAATATTAAAAGCCAGGGCTTATTTGTTTCATTGTATGGTTAGACCTAAGAAAGTGAAGGAGAATTTGTAAATGAAGGTAGTGTGTCAGGTATATAGTGTCTGAGGTTTTTTTGTTTTTGTTTTTGTTTTTTGAGATGGAGTCTCGCTCTGTCACCCAGACTGGAGTGCAATGGCACAATCTCAGCTCACTGCAACCTCTACCTCGCAGGTTCCAGTGATTCTCCTGCCTCAGCTCCCTAGTAGCTGGGATTACAGGCATGCACCACCACACCCGGCTAATTTTGTAATTTTAGTAGAGACGGGGTTTATCCATGTTGGTCAGGCTGGTCTCGAACTCCCAACCTCAGGTGACCCACCTGCCTCAGCCTCCCAAAGTGCTGGGATTACAGGTGTGAGCCACTGCGCCCGGCTGAGGTTGTTACACTGTGAATAGAATAGACCAAAAAATTGAGAAAGTATTTTCCCAGTATTTGAAAACAATTTTATCATTTAGCAAAGAAGTGCATCACATTACTGAAGAGTGAGTAAAGTTCCAACATGTCTTTGTTATACATGTCTATTTATTAATGAAAAAGACAATATCACCAACATCCATTTAAAAATAAGCAAAAGACATTAATAAACATTCTTCCAAAGAGGATATACAGGTGGCAACTTGACACAAGATGTTCAAATGTTCAATACCATAAAATACCAGAAAAATGCAATAAAATCACAGAGAGATGCTATTATACAGCTATTAAAACAACTAAAATTAAAAAGACTAACCATACCAAGTATGGCAAGAATGTAGAGAAATGGGAAGCTTCACATACTATTGATGGGAATGCAGATGGTAGAGTCAGGTTATAGTCTGGTCGTGTCTTTAAAAGTGAAGCATTCACAAACACTGTACTGCTGACACAGGAGAAATAAAGCACTTCTGCATATTAAGAATTATATGCCTATGTTCATAGTAGCATTATTTGCAACCGCCCAAAACTGGAAAGCATCCAACTGTTTATCCAAATTGTGACATAGCCACAGAATATTTCTCAGCAATACAAATGAACTATTCACATAAGCAATACTGGTAAATCTTAAAAATAATTGTGCATCGGCTAGCACAGTGGCTCATGCCTGTAATCCCAGCACTTTGGGAGGCCAAGGTTGGCGGATCACAAGGTCAAAAGATCGAGACCATCCTGGCCAACATGGTGAAACCACATTTCTACTAAAAATACAAAAATTAGTTGGGCATGGTGGCACATGCCTGTAGTCCCAGCTTCTCAGGAGGCTGAGGCAGGAGAATCGCTGGAACCCAGGAGGCAGAGGTTGGAGTGAGCCAAGATCGCGCCACTGCATTCCAGCCTGGTGACGGAGTGAGACTCCATCTCAAAAAAAAAAAAAAATTGTGCATCATCAGGAAAAATGTAGTATTTTATGATTTCAATTCACATAAAATCCTAGAAAACACAAACTATTCTCCTGTAGGGAAAGTAAATGACGGGACTCCTGAAGGCCTGGAAAGTGCACGCAGAGATTGTAAAACAACAAAAGGTGAATCATGAATATGTTCATGATCATGATTATGATGGTTTCACAGGCTTATATGACAAACTCTTCAAATTATACACCATAAATGGATGTAAACTATGGCACATCACTTATACATCAAGAAAGTTTGTAAAACATGTTTCAAAGTAAAGTATCTGATCTTCCACCTTTCAAAAACCAGAATGCCTTGCAATCTCATGTTGACTGCACTCTCTCTTCAGGCCTGGGGAAGGGCAACCATGCGTCCCTCCGTGCAGGAAATATTGGCAAGCAATGAAGGCTGTGGCAATTTGAGAGAACAGCAACACTGGTGGAAATCACAAGACCAGGATATATTATCCCTGGCCAATAGGACTTCTATTATCTTTATCCTCCTTTTTCTGCCTCTACAGCAATGAACTTGAGGTGAACAACCTAGAAAGCCAACAATTAAAAACAAAACAAACAAACAAAAAAAACCTTTATTTTTGCTGACAATAACGTAAGTTATTGGACATACAGAGATTTCTAGGTCCTATGACTGCTCAAAGCCACAGTCACGGAAAGATTTGTAAATGTACTTTTACAAGAGGCACATTCCAACTAGTTTGCTACAGTACACAGACTATTACAGTTCACACGTGACTGTCTTCTGAGCGACATCAGCCTATGGAATGTTTGATATCAGGGCATGTCTCCTTATAGAACCCCATGAAAATCTCAACAGCACTGGGCATCATATGACATCCTCTGGAAACAATGGAATAAAATTGTCCTATTCCCTGAAGCACAGGTGCTTGTTATAACAGCTGGCCTCTCCTCAGGATGACCTCTAGTCTCACAGAAAGAATAGGGATCCAGGCCACAAAGAATAACCAAAACCTTGCATTGTTTCCTAGGAGATTTTAGGTAGCAAAACAAGTAGGACCAAAACCAGAATGAGAATTACTCCGTCATCTTACTTCTCCTGCAGAGGCCCACAAAAGCTGTCCATTCCTTCATATAGAGTTGAAGTCTGTTTCCCAGCCACCCCACACAGTAAACAAAACCCCAAGACTACAAGTAGATTCAAATATAAGGCTTTTATTAGTGCACAAACTGCAGCAATGTGAGGCAGCCATTCACCAGGTGGTGACTTGGAGGCTAGAAGAATGACCAGGTGTCATGTGAGACGAAGAATTTACATAAAGGGAATCCTTGCACATAAGCGTCCAGCAGAACCAAGGCTGGGCCCTCCTGACCAAAACTGGGTCCCATGTATGCTGTGATCAGTCAGAAAAAAGAATGAATTTTCTCTAAAGGCTTAGATTGCTCAAGATTTCCTCCAAAGACTAAGAGAACACACAAATGTCTGCCTTGCCCTAGCACATCAGCGTGACCAATGCCCACTGTGCAAGGTGGCAGAGGGTAGACGGTTTCTACCAGAGAAACAAGGAAGAATGAGGTTCAACTTTAGGCAGATGGCTCCCTCACAAAGGCCCTCTACTGCTACAGTACTACAGAGACAGCACATTCCCTGTAGGTCTAAGGCTCTACTTAAGTGTGGACTTTCAGGAGCTAAATGGTGATAGATCTTGAGTTGAAGGCGCTTCCACATTTGCTGCATTCATGAGGCCTCTATGTGTTATGGCATTTTTGGTGATGTATGAGGCTGGAGCATTGGCTAAAGGAATTCCCGCATTTGTCACACTCATAAGGCCTTTCTCCAGTGTGAACCACTTGGTGTTGAATGAGGCCTGACTTTTGGCTAAAGGACTTTCCACACTGGCCACACTCATAAGGCCTTGCTCCAGTATGAATTCTCCGGTGTTGAATAAGGATGGAGCTTTGACTAAAGGATTTCCCACATTCACTACACTTATAAGGCCTTTCTCCAGTGTGAACTCTCTGGTGTTTAATGAGGGTAGCTTTTTGACTAAAGGATTTCCCACACTGGCCACACTCATAAGGCTTTGCTCCAGTGTGAATTCTTCGGTGTTGATTAAGAATGGCACTTTGACTAAAGGAATTCCCACATTCACCACACTTATAAGGCCTTTCTCCAGTGTGAACTCTTTGGTGTTTAACAAGGGTGGCTTTTTGGCTAAAGGATTTCCCACACTGGCTGCACTCATAAGGCCTTGCTCCAGTGTGTATTTTCTGGTGGTCAACAAGGCTGGAGTTTTGTCTAAATAATTTTCCACATTCGCTGCACTCATAAGGCCTTTCTCCGGTGTGGATTCTCCGATGGTCATTCAGGTGGGAGGTTTGGCTAAAGAATTTTCCACATTCACTGCACTCCCAAGGCCTTTCTCCAGTATGGACTCTCTGGTGCTGAACAAGTGAGTACTTGCCCCGGAAGGCTTTCCCACATTTGCTACACTCATAAAGCTTTTTTCCAGTGTAGACTCTTGGATGATGAACAGGAGTGTGTTTGTGCCTGGAAGCCTTCCCACATTCACCTGACTTGTAATGACTTTTTTGACTGCAAACGTCCTCCCCACATTCAGTAATTGTGTTGGGTTTCTTGCCTCCAGGAAAGACCAGGGACCTCAGAAGCCCCAACATGGCTGGGAGGTCCTTTCCAACCTCCCATTTGCGAAAGGGCTTCAATGACATATGGAATAGGCAGCGCTTCACATATGAAGCTCTGTCCATGTCCCTCTTCAAGGATTTCTTTGCACTGTGATGCTCCTGGTGCTGGTGATGGTTTGTACATTCTCCAACCAAGTATGGTTTCTGCCCAGGGAGATCAGCCAAACGCAAAATATCTTTCAGGACTGGGACACACATCTCACAGGATTGAGTCTTCTGTGTGGATGAACCTGCCTTTGACTGTGATACTCTTACAGAAACATTCTGCTCAGAAAGTGTCTCTTCATCCTCTGTTCCATGGCCACAACCTGAAAGCAGAGAACTGCTGATGAAATATACATTGACTATGCTGAGAGCAGGAAGCCCCATTATACACATACCAAAGGAATGATTCACCAGGTTTGTTTTGAGGATAATGGAGCTGAGGGCAGGTTGAAGAAGGGGTTGCTTTGCAATACTGGATCTCTGAAGATCACAGAATGAGGGAGGCCTCACCAAATAAAGGACACAAGGATGGGATGGAGGACAGGGAATGGCATTGTCTTCAAACCATTCCTCTACCAACAGCCTCAAAAGTTATCCTTGAGTAGCCTTCCAATTCCTAAAACTCACCACATAGTGTTCAGGAGGACTTTGTCTGCTGGTGACACCTGCATGCTGTGCAGAAGGTTGACTGTGCTCAAGCCCAGGAAAATACAATTGAAACTGAGTAGCAAGTCATATGATCACATATTTTCATGTAATCATATATACATACTTCACGAGACATTATGTTTGTGTCAATGTTGGAAAACATTGCAGAGGGAGCAGTGCAGAGGAGCAGATGATGCATGAAGATCAGAAAGGTGGAGGTAGCCAGGTGCTAGAAGTCATAGATAAAAATAATAAGACAGAAAAGTGTCAAGTACAGGGAAGAAAATATAGAAATAAGGTTTGGCCAGTGGCATGTGCACCCAAACAGTGGTGAAGACAGGACAGGCTCCTTATGTGACCTGAAAACAGCCTGGATATCATGCCCCCAACCAGCTGCCAGTCAACAAGCCCAGGCCTTCTCTGAGACCATGTTCACCCTATAAAGCAACCAGGTTTCTCCGCACACCCTCAGTTGTCTAGCTGTGTGGGACCTTCATGAAGCCAAGTCCTATCAGAAAGACAGAACATGTGAGTCATCAGCACTGATGCAGAACGACTCAGCACAAAACAGCCCATGGGAAAGAAAGTTATTATGATTAAACAAACAAACTAGAAGGAGTGAGTAAGAAGAGCCCACTGTCCCCATAAGTATAGACCATGACAATGACTACAATCATGACACAGGCAGCCACAAGAAAATGTCAGCTAGCAGATGGGGGTGCAGGGAACTTGGGACACAAGGTGTCATGGATCTGAACACAGACACCCAGCCAAGAAGAAAGCAAGCAAGAGAGATCCATTTGGCTGACTGAAGAACACCCACTTCCCAGACCACTGGGCAGCAGGTGTTAGGGCTGCTCAGGCAGTGCACAGTGCTGGCTCCCATAGCACATATCCCAAGAGAGTGGGGAAGTCAGCAAAAGAGCACAGACAGACCAAGACACTGGAGTTGGTGTTAGGGCCTTACCCAGTGAGGCTACAAGGGCAAAGTTCTCCAGCATCACTTCAAGGTACAGGCGTCTCTGAGCCTCATCAAGAAGTCCCCACTCTTCCTGTGAGAAGTAAATGGCGATGTCCTCAAAGGTCACACAGCCCTGTCATGATGGGGACAGGTCACTCCACAATCAACGCCTCCACATCAAGTTCATCCACCCACTCATTCATCCCCACCTTAAGAAAATACACACCCTGGTGACACAGATGCCCACTCTCTCTTCACGGTCCAGTGATCACTGTATCCTTCTACAGTACCAACCAGGAGGTGGGCAGGATGCACCACATCGAAACTTTGGGCCCAGTATGTAGGGGTGTATCCCTTCTTGTCAGGCAGTTCCCCAAGAATCTTTCAGATAGTGCCTCCTAGACACAATCAAATGTGGGTTCACCTTTCACCCTTAAGTCCTCAATGCCAGGAGCCTGGGTCCTTCAGTTCACACTCCCTCTCCATGTGCACATCATTCTTTGAACCATTCTCGCTCAGTCTCACTCCCATAGCCACCTCAACCCTTCTGCCCACCAAATTGAGACAGCATTCAGTGCTACACAGACCTCTGATGGTTCCTACTGTCATAGACAGCCCCCATCCTGCTCTGAAGCGCTATCTTCCTGACTCTGTTCCTTGCTTCAACCTCAGCCACCAAGAATCACTGATGTCAGACACTGATGACCGTCCTCCACTTGTGCTGCACTTGATGTCCCCTCTTCAGTCAACAACCTTCCTCTCGCCTCTTAACCTTCTTTCAAAATCAGTGCCCTCGGTGGCACAGACTCTCAGTGGCTCTCTACCTCCAACCTAATGACTCATACAGATGAACACTTGTACTACTAAACTTATTCAACTGCTTGACTGACACCCTCCCCAGACACATCAAGGGTCACAACAAATTCCTGGTGAGGTTTTACCATGGTGAATAAGAACTAGTCCTAGTGTTTTCATCAGTTTGGGCTGCTAGCATAATACCACAAACTGGGTGGCTTATCAACAACAGAAATTTATTTCTCAGAGATCTGCAGGCGGGAAGCCTGAGATCAGAGTGCCAGCATGGTCAGGTTCTGGTGTGGGCTCTTTCCAGGTTGTAGACTGCTGACTTCGTATATCCTCACTTGGTGGAAAGAGCACTAGGTAATAGCTCTCTGGCCTCTTTGTTTAAGAGCACTCACTAATCCCATTCATTAGGGCTTCACCCTCATGACCTAATTATCTCCCAAAGGCCCAACCTCCAAATACCATCACACTGGAAATAGCGTTTAAGCATATGAATTTTGCAGGGATACAGTCCACTGTACCTGGCCTCAGTGTCATCTTCTACCAATTATTTCTTTGTCTCCATGTCTGTCTTATGTTCTCAATGCCTTGGAAGCCTTGACCACTTACCAGATGATATGATTTGGCTGTGTCCCCACCCAAATCTCATCTTGAATTGTAGCTCCCACAATTCCCACATCATGGGAGGGACCTGGTGGGAGGTAATCAAATCATGGGGGCAGGTCTTTCCCATACTGCTCTCATGATAGTAAATAAGTATCACAAGATTTGATGGTTTTATAAGGGGGGAGTTCCCCTGAACAAATTCTCTCGTCTGCTGCCATGCAAGACGAGCCTTTCGCCCTCCACCATGATTGCGAGGCCTTCCCAGCCACGTGGAATCATGAGTCCATTAAACCTTTTTCCTTACAAATTACCTAGTCTCGAGCACATCTTTATCAGCAGCATGAAAATGGACTAATATAGTAAATCAGTATGAGTAAAGTGGGGCTCTGCTGTAAAGATAACTGAAAATGTGGAAGCAATTTTGGAACTGGGTAACAGGCAGAGGTTGGAACAGTTTGGAGGGCTGAGAAGAAGACAGGAAAATGTGGGAAAGTCTGGAACTTCCTAGAGACTTGTCTTTATCAGCAGCGTGAAAACAGACTAATATACCAGATCATCCACTTTCCTACAATCTTCCCATGACCACTTTTCTTCCACAACTGTTTGTGATGTTCACCACCTCTACCACGTGTCCAAGCACGAGACACAGTCATAGCCCTGACCTTTCCTTTTCTGTTTTTGTTTGTTTGTTTGTTTTTTGGTTTTTTTTTTTGAGATGGAGTCTCACTCTGTCACCCAGGCTGGAGTGCAGTGGTGTGATCTTGGCTCACTGCAACCTCCACCTCCCAGGCTCAAGCAATTCTGCCTCAGCCTCCGTAGTAGCTGGGATTACAGGTGCCCGCCACCATGCCTGGCAAATTTTTTTATTTTTAGTGGAGACAGAGTTTCACCATGTTGGCCAAGCTGGTCTAGAACTCCTGACCTCAAGTGATTTGCCTGCCTTGGCCTCCCAAAGTGCTGAAATTACAGGTGTGAGCCACCACGCCCAGCCCTTTCCTGGGTTATTAATAGCATTACCTTCATGACCAGGATTACCCACTCCTAATTGTGACCCACAGCTACTCTGGGCCAAACACTGGCCACCACCTTTTGGATTTCTCTGTCTTAAACCGCTTCTAGAATTCCAGATGTACATGGACAGCTACTCACTTGATGTCTCCATATATCATTCTTTGGAACATCTCAGACTATGATAATAGCTAACGACAGAACTCCTGTTATCCTTAATGAAAATTAATTGGCTGGGCATGGTGGCTCACGCCTGTAATCCCAGCACTTTGGGAGGCCAAGACGAGTGGATCACCTGAGGTCAGGAGTTCGAGACCAGCCTGGTCAACATGGTGAAACCCTGTCTCTACTGAAAAAAAAAAGAAAAAAAAGGTCATGGTACTATGTGTCTGTAGTCCCAACCACTCAGGAGGCTGAGGCAGGAGGATCGCTTGAACCTGGGAGGTGGAGGTTGCAATGAGCTGAGATCGAGCCACTGCTCGATCTGAGTGACAAAGTGAGACTCTGTCTAAAAAAAAAATAGGCCGGGCGCGGTGGCTCAAGCCTGTAATCCCAGCACTTTGGGAGGCCGAGACGGGCGGATCACGAGGTCAGGAGATCGAGACCATCCTGGCTAACACTGTGAAACCCCGTCTCTACTAAAAAAAATACAAAAAACTAGCCGGGCGAGGTGGCGGGCGCCTGTAGTCCCAGCTACTCGGGAGGCTGAAGCAGGAGAATGGCGTAAACCCGGGAGGCGGAGCTTGCAGTGAGCTGAGATCCGGCCACCGCACCCCAGCCTGGGCGACAGAGCAAGACTCCGCCTCAAAAAACAAACAAACAAACAAACAAAAAAATAAAATAAAATAAAATAAAATAAAAATAAAATCAATCCTATTACATGCTATTTGATGGAGCTTCCATCCTCCCAGATGCTAAACTCAAAACGCCTGGAGTAATGCTTGACTACTATCTCTTACCCTCAAAATCTGAAAATGCAAGCAGGCCTAATTAAAAATCTGACCCAGAATCCAGCCACCACTTCTACCTTCACAGCCACCACATTGGTGAAGCCACTATCAAAACTCACCTTGGCCACTGCAGTAGCCTCCTCCCTGGTTGCCTCCATCACACCCACAGAGTATTCTCTATGCTGCATTAACAGTGAACCTGATGAGACCAGGGTCAGATAACCTCCCTCCTCTTCTCTAAACCTCCCATTGTTCCCATCACCTCCAGAAAAAAACACCCAATTTCTCAGAGCCATTCCAGACCTGAGTCCTGCCCTGCTGCTCTGAGTTCCCATGAGAAAGAAAGGAGAGTTGGGTTCCCCTGAACCAGCTCAGCTTCACTGCCAACTTTACATATTATTGTACCTAGGCGGGACAACCTTTCACACCTCATTCCATTGTCTGCCAGCAATAAGAACTTCTACAAATAACCACCAGTCTAGAATCAGGATGTCAAGCTTGGGGTTTGTGAAGAGTCCTTAGGTCAAAGAACTGGACGGTGGCAAAAAAGATACATGAAGAAACCCCAGGATGGGGCCAGGACCAGTGAGGGCCTGGGACACCCTCCACTCACCTTTGTGAGGTCCATATGTGTTTCTGGAGACACAGTCACCTGTGGAAAGCCAAAGATCATGAAAGGCAGGTGACCATACAGGGCTCTACTGATTCAGGCTTCCCTGGATTCCTGACCAGGACAGAGCCAGATGGACTGATGATGTCTGCATTATTTCTGAGCCTCAGCTTTCCAGTCCTCAGTGCTACCTCTTAGCAACTGTGGGACCTTGCACAAGAACTCAATCTCCCTGTGATTCTGTGTTATTCCATTCTGTTCTAGTCTAACTCCATGAGGTTTTTGGAAAACTTAGAAAGACCTAACTCAGACGATACGCCGCGTCTGTACACGACCCTCCACAGCTCCTAGCATCCTAAGAATTGAGGGAAAACTCCTCACCTTGGCACTCCAGGTATGAACCTTCTTCACTCCATCTCCAAGAGTTTAGAAACGCCGGTCCCTTTGCCTGTCACCTTCTTCCATGCCTCATCACCCAAGTTCTGGAAATAAGGACTCCACCCACGAGCCCCCACTGTACTGGACATGAGGATCTCGACCCTAGCGACCCAAGAAGGCACCCCTTACTGGGCTTTAGAATTTGAGTGAGGATGAAGGAGGGTGAGGTCCAGTGGACGCAGCGCTCACCTGAGTCGGGGCCCTCAGCGCAGCCGCAGCCATCGGAGTCTGGGCAGAGCGGGGCCGGGACCCGACAGCGACGGGCGCGGGGACCTGGGCAAAGCCGTCAACCCCGCCGCCGCCGACCCTTAGACCCCCGACTGTTCAGCGGGAGGACCCCTCCCCTCGCGCCTTCCGACTCTCTCGCCAAACAAAGCGCTCCCAAAGCTCTTGACGGTCTGGATTCACCCAAGCGCTGCAAAAATGACCGCCACTGAAGTGATACAGGAAGTACCTCCCCGACCTATTGGTCCCAAAGCGGAAACGACCCTTTTCTCAGCGCGGATTGGCTCAGCGTCTCTGCGGCTGGAGCCGAAACCTTCTGGGTAATGTAGTCCCGCCGGTACGCAGGGCGCAGGGAAGGATGCTGCGGCCCAGAGTCACCTCAAACAAAAGCCAAGCGGCCGCGCTGGGGGCGCAGGGAGATGGCGTCGCCACAGTCCAGGAGAGGGCTGGGCCTTGTCGCTCCTTAAACGGGCCGCTGGTCCATTTCTGTGGTCCCGGCGCGGCTCAGCGCCCACGTGGTTAGAGACATTGATTCAGGCTCGGGAAGCTGAGGCCGGATCCACAGGTGTTCGACGCTCCTGCGGGAGCGAAGGAGCTTCGTGCCCCTCCCTGGCGGGGTCAAGGCGTTCGAGGCTGTGCCGGGGCCGAGGATGTTCCGTGAAAGACAGGAGCGATCTAGGTGTGGCGCTGTGGGCAGGTCTTCCCGGAGGCCACGTGGGGGCCGCGCCCGCGCTACTCCTGCTCTGAGCCCCTTGACTGTTCCTAGATGAGGGAGGCGGGGCCGAGACGTCCCATGGGAAGGGGTCCTGGGCAGCTCTCCCCCGGGGACTTCTTCTCTTGGGGAGGGCAAGCTGGGGAGGCCCCGGAGCGGCCGAGGAAAGTGCCTCTGCTTCCCTGAGTCCCCTCCAGGGTCTGGGAGCCGCTCCTGCGTTTTCTGACGCCCCCTTCACCGCCCCTTGGCTGAGAACTGGGTCCAGATGAGCCTTGGACCCCACTGAAGACATCGTCTACCTCATCTCCCACACCTGCTAGGACCATCTCTGTCCGCCCTCAGGGCAGTAGGGAGGTAGGCGGGTTCCCAGGGCACCCCACGCGGTGGCGTACAGTGGTAGGAACAAGGCCTCTGGAGCTCAAGAATGGGATTTAGTCCCCGGGGGGGAAATCCATGCTCTGCCTTCCAGCAGCTGACTCGGCCTATAGGGATACTCTTAATGGCCTCCACGAAGGTGCAGGTATAACGGCTGGACCAGTCTCATCTGGCCATCTTCTGTTGGTAACAGAATGTCTAGTTATTTTGCAGGCACAGAGCTGAAGAGTTGCAAGTTACACAGCTAGAGAATGTGCAGAAAAGAAAAATGTCAGGCCCGGCGCGGTTGTCTCATGCCTGTAATCCAAGCACACTGGGATGCTGAGGTGGAAGGATCACTTGGGCAACATAGCCAGACCCCGTCTCTACAAAAAATAAAAAATTACCCGGGTGTGGTGGTGCACCTGTAATCCTAGCTACTCAGAATGCTGAGGTGGGGGGATCGCTTGAGCCCCGGAGATCGTGGTTACAGTGAGTTATGATTATGCCACTGCACTCCAGCCTGGGCAACGGAGCCAGACCCTGTCTCGATAAATAAATAAATAAATAAATAAATAAATAAATAAATAAATAAAAAAGAAAACATTGACCCAACACCTGGAACTGAAGTCTCACCTACCAGACTCCACCCTGCCACCACCAGGAAACCAAAATCCCGGGCTATGGCCGGAACCCAAGTGTTGAAACACTTCTGAAAGCAAGGGGTCTGTTGTCTCTGAATCTTGGATGATAACACCCCTGTCCCCGCCTTGCCATCAATAGATTTGTTTGAAGTCCTTCCAATCAAAATCCACCCTTCCAGTGTTTACCAACCTGTCCTTCCTAATCCTTAAAAGTTGCCCCAAATCCCATACTGGGGAGACGCATTTGACCTGGACTCCTGTCTTCTTGTTTGTGGATTTGCAATAAAGGTTTTCTTTTCTTTTCTTTTTTTTTTTTTGAGACAGAGTCTCGCTCTGTCCCCCTGGCTGGAGTGCAGTGGGGCGATCTCGGCTCACTGCAAGCTCCGCCTCCCGGGTTCACGGGCCATTCTCCTGCCTCAGCCTCCTGAGTAGCTGGGACTACAGGCGCCCGCCACTGAGCCTGGCTAATTTTTTGTATTTTTAGTAGAGACGGGGTTTCACTGTGTTAGCCAGGATGGTCTCGATCTCCTGACCTTGTGATCCGCCCGCCTCGGCCTCCCAAAGTGCTGGGATTACAGGCGTGAGCCACCGTACCCAGCCAAAGGTTTGCTTTTCTCAAAAACCTGGTGCCATGGTACTGGCTTCTGTGTGCATCAGACAGCAACCCTTCTCCTTAGTAACACTGGCACTCTCTCGGTGCCACCGTTCTGCCCTTCACTACCCTCTGGTCCCAGAGGCCAGCAGCCCCCACAATGGCCACCTAACACATGCCCTCACCCTCACTGTCCTCTCAGAGTTGCCACATGAGATCAAACATGGCTTCTCAAACTTCAAGCATGTGTGTCCATCTAGGCATAGAACTAGTGGGATTGCTTGGATAACTTGGGGAGGAGGGATAGCCTAGCTAGGTTATCCTACTCTGTGTGGCATGTCCAGGGGACTAAATGACCCACCTGCTCCTGAGGCCCAGTCCTTCAGGGAGAAGCCCAGCCAGAGATGAGGGAGGCTGCCAGTGATCACAAAGCAGTAATAAACTCCATCTATAGCTAAACTTAGGTGAGACCAACAGTCAATAAGTATCTAAAGAGAAAGCTAAAAAACATTGAAGATAGAGTGCAAGAAAGTGTGAAGCCCTTAGGATGTGCATGGGTTGTTTTGTGTTTTCTTTCTGTGTGTGTCTCCTTGGCACAGCTATTCAAGTACAGCTTGGCAGTGTCATTCACAAAGTCTACTAACTTCTATTGCTGTTCACCCAGTTAATCCCAAGGGACTCCACAGGTACCAAATGGTATGGGGGAGTGTTAACCTCAAGGACCATGACATCTAGCAAGGGACTGAAGACAGCAGAGGCCAGCTCCACCGGCAGGTAGAACATACCAGAGGGCCCAGGTTTAGCTCCATCCTGTCTTTATTTTTTTTTATTTCTTATCTTTAGTCCTTAGGGGTACAGAGTAGGTGTATATATTTATGAGTTACATGGCATAGTTTGATACAGGCATACAGTCTGTAATAATCACATTGGGATAAATGGTATCCATCACCTCAAGCATTTATCATTTTTTTGTGTTATAAGCATTCTAGTTATACTCTTAATTATGTTTAATTCTACAATAGATTATTGTTGACTGTAGTCACCCTGTTGTGCTATCAAATACCACATCTTATTCCTTCTATCTGACTATATTTTTTCATCCATTAACTATCCCCACTTTCCCTTCCATTTCTGCTACCCTTCCCAGCCTCCATGGCTGCAAATTTTCTAATTTTTCTAAGTACAGTCTCAGGTACTTCTTCATAGCAATGCAAGAATGGCTTAACATAGAAAATTGGTACAGAGGAGTGGGGCATTGCTATAAAGATACCTGAAAATGTGGAAGCAACTTTGGAACTGGGTAATGAGCAGAGGTTGAATGAGTTTGGAGGGTTCAAAAGAAGACAGGAAGTTGAGGGAAAGTTTGGAACTTTTTAGACACTGGTTAAATGGTTGTGACCAAAATTCTGATAGTGATGTGGACAGGGAAGTTCAGAACGATGATGTCTCAGATGGAAATGAGAAACGCATTGGGAACTGGAGCAAAGGTCAGATGTGTTATGGCTCAGCCAAGAACTTGGCTGCATTGTGCCTATGCCCTAAAGATCTATGGAAGTTTGGACTTTAGAGTAATGACCAAGGATAGCTGGTGGAAGAAATTTCTCAGCAGCAAAGCTTTCAAGATGTGGCCTGGCTACTCCTAAAAGCCTGTGCTAGATGCTAGAGCAAATAAATTACCAAAAGATATAATTTATATTTAACAGGGAAGCAGAGAAAAAAAATTAGAAAATTTGCAGCCATGGCCGGGCGCGGTGGCTCACGCCTGTAATCCCAGCACTTTGGAAGGCTGAGGCGGGCGGATCACAAGGTCAGGTGATCGAGACTATCCTGGCTAACACAGTGAAACACTGTCTCTACTAAAAATACAAAAAATTAGCTGGACATGGTGGCAGGCGCCTGTAGTCCCAGCTACTCGGGAGGCTGAGGCAGGAGAATGGCGTGAACCTGGGAGGCGGAGCTTGCAGTGAGCCGAGATCCGGCCACTGCACTCCAGCCTGGGCGACAGAGTAAGACTCCATCTCAAAAAAAAGAAAAGAAAAAGAAAATCTGCAGCCTTGATATGTGGCACAGAAAGAAAAAGCCTTTTTTTTTGGGAAAGGAAATCAAGCAGGCTGTGGAGCAACCACTTGATAGAGATATTTTTATAACTAAAGGAGAGACAACTTCTGCACCCATAAGCACACATATTTAAGGCCCACTTAAACTAGAAAAATACATGTTAGGTTTAGTACTAGAGGTTATTGGGCATGGTATAACAATTTCTTTCTTTTTTCTTTCTTTCTTTTTTAAAAAAAGAGACAAGGTCTTGCCTTGTTACCCAGGCTGGAGTGCAGTGATGTGATCATAGCTCGTTGGCCTCAATGTCACTATGCCCAGCTATTTGTTTTTTTAGATATGAGGTCTTGCTATATTGCCCAAGCTGGTCTCGAATACCTGGCGTCAAGCAATCCTCCTGCCTCAGGCTTCCAACGTGCTAGGATTACAGGCATGAGCCATCATGCCTGGCCAACATATTTCTTTTTGCTTGTTGAACTCCTCATTGTTCTGGTACCAATTAAAATCAAGTCTTATAGATATTAACGTGATAGCTCCTGCCAATCTGCAAATGAGGCTTACCTTTCTCACTCAGATGGGAGTGGGAATCCTTAGAAACTCCTTCTTTCTTTGTTTTTGTAACTTCACATTGCTTACTGGACACAAGATTAGACCCACGGATCTTATTCTCAACCAGCTGGCCTTTGCCAATTTGTTTGTGCTTTTCTCTAGAGGGATCCCTCATACAATAGCAGCTTTTGGATTGAACTATTTCCTGGATAAGGCTGGATGCAAACTTCTCTTCTATTTTCACAGAGTGGCCAGAGGGGTTTCCCTCAGCACCGCCTGTCTCCTCAGTGGCTTCCAGTCCACAAAACG